CCTCCCCACCCTGGGCCGGGGTTTCCCTGTCCGCAGAGAAGGGTAACGATGCCGTCCCCCAGCCCTGCAGCCTAGGTATGGTGCTGCTTAGAAGGCACGCAGTCCAGTGCCCGTGACCGTGATTGTTTAATGAGGGCACAGAGAGGTGAAATTTCTTGTCCAAGGCCCTGAGGCGAGGACGCAGCCCTGCTGTGTTTGAGCCAAGGCAACGTGGCTCCAGAGCCCCTAGGGCTCCCTGGTCCCCCAGCTGCCATTGCCCTGCTCATGCTGGTATTACTGGTCTTCAGGGGAGTGGACCGGCCCGGTCCTTGGTGGTGGGAAAGGTGTGGGGGTGACAGGTGGGAAGGAGCGGTCTCTGGCTCCTCTGGGCCTCCAAGCCCCCTGGCCACCGCTCTCACCGCAGCCCGCTCTGGCTGCGGGGCAGCCCCTGGAGTCCTCTTGTCGCAGAGCCATGCACCCTGGGGCCGCAGTGTGGTCCCATTTCTGGGAATCCCTCGCCTCTTGCCTAACCGTTCCCACTGGTGACAGAGCTCTCCCTTAGCAACCTCTTCTTCCCTTCTCGGGGACTTCACCCTGAGCCGGGGGCACATCCGGCCGACAGGGTGGGAATGGGACCATTTCACTGCTGCACCAGCGGGGGGCTGGGGGCCCAGGGGGAGCTGGGGGTGGGTGCCTGCCCAGGGAAGAGTGTGGGGAGAAGGTCTCCCCTGGCCCCAAGCCCGGGCGCATCCGGGGGTGCAGCCAGACCCAGGTCACTTTGATGGACATGCCGGTGGAGCCTGGCTCTCCACCAGAGGAGCTGGCTCTGGCCTTGGCAATGGGACTGCTCTCCCAGATACTCTTCCTCAGGGCTGTGGCCTCCTCTCCCCTCCATGCCTCGTGTCCTCTCTCGATTGGAGACCATGGCGGGAAGGAGAGCCAGACCCTACAGAACGGCAGAGAAGCTGGAAGGGGCTGTCTGGTCCTCTCCTGAGTAACGAGTCCTGCGTCTCCTACCTGTGTCATGTCGCCTACCTGTGTCATACTCTTTAACATCTTTGGGTCCCATCTGTACCATTCAACTATATCATTACTCTAGGTGGATAACTAGGTCTCACTTGCCATGAAGACAAAAACAAATATTATTGAAACAATGAGGTCAGCTCCCTGAGGGCAGTGGTTTGTGATTTATTGCTGTATTCCCAGCACCCAGAAAAGTACCTGGCACATCACAGGTACTCAAAATACATTTTTTTGAGTGAGGGGCCGGTAAATGAACAAATGCAGAAAGGAAAGAGTGATCTGGATATGGATGCTTGGGGAAGGCGCTAATAAAAAAGCCACACCGGGGCACCTGGGTGGCTCAGTTTGTTAAGCGCTCTTGGTTTCGGCTCAGGTCAGGATCTCAGGGGTGTGAGATCGAGCCCCGCGTCAGGCTCCACACCCAGTGCGGAGTCTGCTTGTCCCTCTCCCCCTCTGTTCCTCTCCCCATTCTTTCTCTCTCTCTCAAATAAATAAACTCTTAAAAAAAAAAAGCCTTGCCAACTCCAAGTGGAGACTTTCTTCTTGACATGCTCATTGTGTGGAGTGGGCTTCCTGCCGGTGCTTCTGCCCCCAGATACATGTGACAGTGTGAGCCACGTGTGTCTCCCCTTCTGCCACGGGAGGATCCTCTTCTGAGTCGGCCTTTCTGAAGGCTGGACGCCCAAGGTGAATGTCCACTCTGCCCCATCCTCCCCACCGTGCTGGACAGGGCCATCTTCGAAGAGCGTGGAGTCTCTGTCCCCGCCTGGCAGGAACCTGTGGGGGTCGCCGCCATGCCTCCTAGGCAGAGGCCTGGCACAGGAAACCTGATGTCATCCTGACTCACTGCTCAGATGAGGCTGGGGGTGGCTACAGCTCGTCACTCTCACCTTCATCCCTACCTGGCACAAGGATGCTGGCCACACCATTCATTTCTTCCTTCCCCCCCTGGGCTTGGGGTGTAGGTTTGGAAGGAGGAGGAAGGCCCACATCAATACAGGGCTTGGCGCTTCATGATTGTGGAAGAGAAACCACTTTGCATGGGGGTTGGGGGGCTGCGCTGGTGGGGGCAGGGGAAGCCAGGAATTCCAAAGGCAGGAGGTGAATGACACTTCACTGTCAAAACAGGTGGTTACAAATAGTACAGCATCCTTTATTCCAGTTTGGTATTTTCATTAAAAAAAGAAAAAATAACTGAAGCTGGGCCCCAAACTGACTCGATGGTGTCTGCTCTGTAATAGCCAGGCCAGGAACACAAAATAACCCAAAGCCTCCGTGTCTGGCAACCCCCCTGCTGCCATCTCTGATGGTCTAGTGATGAGAAGCGGGGTCGTCCCTCCAGATCCTTCCGCCTGTGGGGCATGGGTCTAACCGAGACCCCTCCTCACACTGTCTCCACCTGTGTGCCCAGAGCCCTGCCTCGTCTCTGCAGCGGGAATGGTGTCCCTTCAGGAGGTGGCAAAGGAGGGAAGACATCCGGCGCCGTGACTCACCGGAGGTCTGGGGATCTTTAGTCAGAGCAGGTGTGGGGGTGGGACGTGGGTTTGCCTCTCTTGTAAGGCTTTAGGCTTACACACAGTTATTGGGGGTGGGGGTTACCCCAGTTTGGGAAGAGGGGAAGGAGGCAAAAGGGAAGCCCCGCTTTCATGGCTAAGTCAGGCCTCCATAAGCCTGTGTTCCAGAGCCGCAAAAGGGACAGCCCCGAAGCAGGTGGCATTGAGGGGGTGACATACGTGCAGTCACCTGAGGCGGAGCGCTGGGCAGGGCCCCCGGGACTGCCGCTAGAGCAGAGCTTTCACAGCGCACTCCCACTCCCGAGCGGGACTTCCCAGCAGGGCGCAGGCCGTTTTCCCCAAGGAGGGAGAGAGTCTGAGCCCGGCGTGGGACTCCGGGGTCTGCAGCCCCTACCATTGAGCTGGTTTTCACTCCTGAGCCAGGATCTCAGCTGGCCAGTTCTCTCTTCTCCTCCCCGAGGAGCTGGGAGGCTATGGCTCCTAGCAGGGCAGGTGACGCCAGCCCCACGGGTTAGCAAGACTGGACCTGACTATTCCTTTGCATGCTCTGTAATTTGCCCCCAGAATCAGCCATTAAGTCATTTGCCGGGCTGATGCCAAGGATAAGGGCCGCATATCAGCCTTTGGGATCTGTGGCCCAGACTCCCCGGCTCTGTTGTGGGCTTTGCCACATCAGCTTCCAGACTGGCCTGTAGGGAGGGACAGGACACTGCAGTGCCCAGACAGTGGTGTGGCCTCAGCCTTGGAACCAGTGTGGGTGAATAGCTAGCTGGTCTATTATGAACTCCCATCTTACAGATGGGGACACTGAGGCATGAGAGAGTGACTTGGCCCCAGGAATCTTTGGAGTCCTTTTGTCCCCTGGGTCCCCTCTTCCTCATAAGCACACATGAGCTACAAACTGTCTCAAACCTTGTACAGCTGCATTCAGATCATGCTCCAACATACACAGACACATCGACACACCTTTTGGAGGAGTTTAGAGTTTATAAACCAAGTGGAGGGCTTGGGGGGTCAACATGGGTCCTATCTGCAGCCCTCCAAGACAGTCTGGACATAGGGGACTGCAAGGGAGCTGGAAGGATCTTACAGAGGGCACTGAGTAGTGATGCAGGCGAATGGGAGCCTAGGGGCTTGGGTTCTGAAATCCCACCCAGCTAGCGGTAGGGATGAGGGCAGCTCCAGGATGCTCTTCCATCCGCCTGAACATCTCTGCTTTGGAGTTCAGCTGTCAGTATCTCTTGCCCCCAACCCAGGGGCCCCGCTCCTCCCCACCACACACACCTGGGCCTCACCACATCCGGTCCCTGGGCTGGCAGCCAGGGTGGGGTTGGACAGAAGGGATGTGGATGACCCAGCTTCCCATTCTCAGTGCTCACTGCCTTGCTCAGGTGCCAGTCCGAGGTCCCTGCTGCCCAGGGGGCCTGCTACGGCCCAGGGAGGGCTGAGAAGGGGCACGGTAAAGGGGTGGAAGAGGCAGATTCTGGTAGTTCTTCTTCTTCCCCTTCGTGAGGCTCCTTGAAATTCCCACAAGGCCCCAGGGAGAGCCCAGCAACGTCAGCAGAGTTCCCCTTCCGAGCTGGCCTGTGACTTGGGGAAGTGCTTCACCCTGGGCCTCTGGGGTTTCCCTGGGCCCCAGGGGAAGCCTTGCCCTACTCTTAACTGGAAACGTATCATGGGCCCCCTGCCTCTCCCCTGGAAGGCCCAGGGGGTCCTTCTCATGCCAATGTCCAGGGTCTTGGGCCCAGAGGATAACGGTCTGGACTAGCTTGGCCACTAACCTACTGCAAGACTCAGAGTGCTGGTCTCAGCCATGCCGTGCGGGAGGGGAGGGGAGGGGAGGAGAAATTAAAGTTCCTCCTGGGCAAGGTTTCTAAGTAGAAAAAGAACATCTCAGCATGGCTCCCCATTCCCCGGTGTAGAAATCATGGCCATGTCAATTTTTGTTTGTAACAAATTCCTAGAGGGAAAATCCTGGAACAGAAAGGGAGAAAGGAGAGGAAGCGTGGCAAGGGGCACCACTGGCCCCAAAGTCTCTGGGCATGGGGATGTGCATCCGAGACACCAGTTCCCAAGGACTGAGCGGCGTCGTCAAAGGGTGGGAGCGTTCTTCCAGGCCGGGGCGCAAAGATGGGGGGCTGGCACCGGGGCCCCACTGACCCCGGCAAACCCTTTCCCTCAAGAGCTAGTCTCCGCTTCCTCCCCCGGCGCATCCTCCCCCCTCAGCCCGCCCCGTCCCCGGGGCCGGCCCAGCTCGCGCCCCTGAAGGCCGCGGGGGCGGGCGCCGGCGCCTTCCTGCGCTGCCCTTGTATGGTGACCCGGGAGGCCGGCCCCCGGGTACTTAAGCCGCGGCGCCGCCCAGGGCGCCCAGAACACTCGTTTCGGGCAGCGCGGCCGCCGCGAGAGCCGGGAGCGCGCGGTGGAGGGGGGGGCGGGGCACGAAGAAGCGCCGTGAGAGAGACCGCCGGAGCCTGGGCCGGAGCTATGGGGCTGGAGTCGGCGCGCGAGCTGGACTGCGCGGCGCTGGGCGCGCTGCTGCGGGAGCCGCGGGAGGCCGAGCGCACGCTGCTGCTCGACTGCCGCCCCTTCCTGGCCTTCTGCCGACGCCACGTGCGCCACG